CAGGGGCACCACGTGTGTAGCACAACTCAACATTTCAACATTTACAGGGATATACATGAAAATGGCCCAAATAGTATATAACCTTTTCCAAAATGACCTTTGACTTTTTTAGAAATTTGAAACTACCCAAAATATCCTTAGAAAAATTTAACAACCAACCCTTTATATAATAAGAAGTTTCTTTTTTAGTCCTTCAAAATCTAACAAATAATTTTTCTAAAAATTTGTAAAAATTATTAATGAATAATTATAAAATGGAAAAGCCCAAATATAAGAGAGGACCATATAATATAAAAAAGGTTGTTAAAAATAAAAAAGAAATTAAATTTGAAAAAGAAATTGATAAGATAGGATATCAAGAACAATTATATGCATCACAAGAAATATTAAAATGTTTTAAAGAAAACTTATTAGAAAATTTCGCTAAAGGAATTGTAAGGTCAATAATCATAAAAGATATACAAGATATAATAGATAAATTGGCAAAAAGAATGAAAAGTATCTCAAAATATGAAATACCTTTTGGAACAGACATAGATATGATAACAGATATTGATATTATAAATTCTCAAACATTATTAGACTTTGAAGAATTACTTAAAAATTTATGAGATTAAAATTTTGATATTTTGATTATTAGATTATTAGATTTTTGTTCGCTCATAGTAGCACCCATAGAGTTGGTATCAGAGCCAAGTTGATCATGGAAATCTTAAAAATAAATAATTATTATCAATGTATTGAAGAAAAAGGATGTTATATATTTTACAACCCTATCCCTAATAAACTAAAAATAATAACATTATATATAACTAGGAATTTACCTAGAGAAATAAAGGAACAAATATTACATAAATTAATTATAGGATTTATCAAAGATAGACGTACATATGAAATAATTTGCGAAATATTTGAAAATGAGTTGTATCATAAAGAAATATATGAATTCATTTGGTAGCTTAGTTGAGCTTATTGACATTTCCTGTGAACGATTTTGTTTTAAAATGGAAATGGAGTCCAACCTTAATAAACAGCTTGCTTTATTATTACCCATGGCTGCATTTCTAGAGGATGACATTGATTTTCTAGATTAAGGTTTGGTCCATGGGATTTGGTTTGAGCAGTCTTACAGATTGAATATGCCCCACCATGATCACCCAGCCCACGTTGGGCCTGAACAGAGTATAAGAGAAGAGAGAGACGGAGAAAAAAAGAAATAACGGTTCTTACCTTGGAGCCTCAATGTAGAGTTTAAAAACGAAAGGAAATGATTTTATTAGCAAAATAGAATTACACAATGTGGATACACACACCATGACCGCTAACCACTATAATATTATTTACGAAAGGAAGACAACACCAATTCATTTGCTCAACTCTTCTTTCTCTCCTCAATTCTTTTATAGTTTCTCTCTTCAATCTCATAGACCATATTTATAGTAGCGTATATCGATGGCTTTGAAATCTAGATAATTCCTCCATAAAATTAGAAGCTTGCAAACTCCAGGTTCTTCTAGCTTTGGTGGTGGAGAGCAGAAAATTCAGAGACTTCTAGCTACTTATACTAGGATTGGTTGCACTTTACAACTAGAAATTTCTTTGAATAGCAATGCTTCATCTTCAATTCTCACCTTCAGCACCGACTCTTTGACTTAGTTCTTCTTTTATTGTCTTCAATTGCATTAATAACTATTCGAATTTTGAAGCACCGAGTCCTTTCATTAATATGTCTGCGACTTGTTCATCGATATTTACATGCTTCGAGTCAATCTCTCCTTCAAGTACATTTTCTATGACGAACTGACAGTACACTTCAACATGCTTAGCTCTTGCGTGGCATACTTGATTTTTTGCTCTATGGATAGCTGATTGGTATTTGGAATATAATTCCATTGCATTGCTTATCGGTTGATATAGGTTCTTCATCAACTGCATTATCCATGTATTTTCTTGAGCTACCATTGTCGTTGCTCTATATTCCGCCTTTGCAATTGACAAAAACATGGTTCTCTTTTATTGTACCTTGATACTATAGCTGACCTTACACCGAACATGTAGCCAGTTATCAATTTTCATGTGTCGTGACATCCAGCATAATCCGCATCACAATAGCCAATGACTTTACACCCTGTGTGTTTTTGGTAAAAGAGTCTGTAATCAATTTTTCCTTTAATGTACCTCAAAATCCATTGCACTACTTCAAGTTGTGGTTTCTTTGACTTTTCCAAAAAGCGGCTTGCTATCCCAACTGCGTATGCGAAGTTAGTTCGCGGCAGCGTTAAGCTTTCTACTAGCCGTCGGAACATGGTTGCATTCTATAAGTCCTTGCCTTCATCTACGTATACTTTGGAGTTAATCTCGATTGGTGTCAATATCGATTTACAATCAAGCATCCCAAACTTTTCTTTTGTTCTTTCCATCTCGAGTCCTATAAAATGATTAAACCCTCTTAGCTATTTTATTTGAAATTTCACTAAGAGTTTCCTTTTAGTTCGCTGAATTTCATTTTCGTCATCTCCAGTAATGGTGAGATCATCCACATACACTAGCACTATTGTTAGTTTTTCATTTTGTGCTTTGACAATTAGGCTTGAGTCTGCTCGTATTGAGTATTTGCTTTGAATTAAGAATTCTACTATCCTATCGTAGAATGCTCCTGGTGCCTTTTTTAACCTGTAGAGGGCCTTCTTTAGTTTGCAAATATATCCTGGATTTTCTTTATTCTCGAATCCCTTTGGTTGTTCCATGTATATGTCTTGAAAAAGTCTCCCATGGAGAAATGTATTTTTACGTCTATCCTCCTTAGCTTTCATGACTTGCTGTTAACGCTATTAGCACTGGTACTGTAGTCAACTGTTACTAGCCTAAAGGTCTCATCATAGTTTAGCCCATATTGTTGTGAGAATCCACGAGCTACTAGTCGAGCTTTATATCTTTTGATTGATCTGTTAGAACGTATCTTTACTTTGGATACTCATTTGCTGGATATAGGCTTTACTCTTCCTAAATCTCATTTTGCCTTAAGCCATGTACTTTTCTTCAATTGCCTTTCTCCACTCCTTGTTTGGACCGTTTCTTTAAAAGTCTTTGTCTCTCTGGCACTCTCGTCTTCTTCTAATGTTGCGTTAGCATGCTTAAGGTTTGTTTTTCTCTGTCTAGTTGATTTTATCAAATGTGGTTGTGGACTCGTTTGTACCTCAACCTGCTCTTATTGAATAGACCTTATTTTTTCTGGTGTTGTTTGATGTATATTCGTCTATTAAGGATTTTAATTATGCCAATAGAATCCTCATCACTTGATTCTTGTGCATCTTTCATTTCCGCGGGGTTTAGTTGTGCTTTTGTGATCGCATCTTGTAATTTATCTTCTATTTCCTTTGAATTAACAGATCCACCCTCCACGATGTCCACCACGAAGATGCTTCATGAAACACAATGTTCCTTAAAGTGTGACAATGATCAATTGTAGGGTCCTAGCATTTCCATCCTTTCCTTTGGCTATCGTATTCCATAAATATACATCTGATTGCTTTCCTAGCAAACTTGCTCGTCAATTGATTAGGCATGAACACATAACAAACGCAGTTGAATACTCTAAATTGACTAAATGTTGGCTTAGTTTCATAGTTTCTCAAAGGGTGACATGAACCCTAGCTTCGATTGTGGTAGCTTATTGGTTACATGTGCTTCTGTGCTCATACACTCCGCCCAAAACCTTCTTGCCACATACTTTGCGTATAACATACTTTGACATGTATCTGCAAGGTGTCAATTATTTTTTCTGCCACACTATATCATCGTGGCATGTTTGGATATGTCAATTTTTGGTATAAATGAGATCCTAACCCTTCGTTTTTATACACCACAACCTTCACTTCAGGTTCCTGCCAATCTTTGTCATCCATGCTTTTAGATTTCTTTCTGTATGATGCCTTCATCATGCTCTCTGCCATAATCGAAATTCCCAGTTTCATTGAATTTAACTACGTTGAACATCACAGAAGAAACCCTGACATCGTAACCATAAAATTTGATACTAGTTGTGTTACGTGCAACAATATTGATGAATTATACAGAATTGCAAAGAGAGTACAAGAAAGAAAATACGAGTTTATTTGGTTTGACAGTATGCCTACTTCCACTGGTCCGAAGTGGATATATTTCCGTATTGAAATAATAGAGTTACAACATATATATACTAACCCATAGCTTGTACAAGATATAGCGTATGTTGAGCCCATTAAAATGAATTTTTGGCCAATTTTCATTTTCTGCATCTGTGGGGGCCACATTCTCGGAAATTATGAGAAAAACACATCAAGAGTGACTTTTGGGGAAATTTGCAGGTCCAACAATATATGTTTCCAGTTTACCCTTCAAATAAAATGGTGGGAGGTTATTTAAAAGTCAAGGAATAGGAGGGTTGTTTCTGAAAATTGGTTTTTAAAAAATGAGGGCATTTTTGACATTTTGAATTTTAAAGTTTTTTGCAACAATTAAAACACCTGAAAATATACTGCAATTTGTAATTTTTTAAGAATTAAAGTACTGTTGAGAAATGAAAAAGCTCATTAAAAATGATTTTACTGAGATTCAAACAGGGGCATAAGGGAAATCCCAAGAATTCCCGTGTACTGCATCAGTCTGCTTTCCCAGTATACATTTGTTCGTATGAGCTACATACTAACACTAGTAAATTGAAGAAGCTTTGCATTAACTTCTCATTTGCTGGTAGGGCACTCGATAGCAATCATTTTTTGATTTTCTTGTATAATTTGATGAGGAACTGAACTGAGATTTGAGTTTCCTTGTATAAATGCTTCCTTGAGGTTTGCATTATGTATGTTTGCTTGCATCCATGTAGCATACCGTTTGACATTTTTATGTGATTTCAGGAGGTTGGGTGTGGGTTTTCGAAAAATATATTGAATCTCTTGAATATTAAATGTCCGGGTGTTATATGTAATGCTCTTATAATTAGATGATTTACATGTCAACAGATTTATGGAGATGACGAATGGTCCTTTGGGTACTGTGAGCAAGGTACTGGAATTTTTAGCTGCCCATCTACAAAGAATCCAATGTATACATTCCGTGAAAGCATCAAACTTGGAGAAACTACCTTATCTATTTTCAAGGTTGATCAGATCCTGAGGGAACTTAGTAGAGAGTGGCCTGGACACTCTTATGATTTGTTATCAAAAAATTGCAATCATTTCTGTGATGACTTTTGTGAAAGTCTTGGTGTGCTAAAGCTTCCTGGTAATTGCAATCTTTGTATCTTCTTCTCTGCATGCACGCATGCTTGCACAACATATACTTTACTATAAATATGTAGGCTGTTTGACCCCCAAATTGTGGTTCATCTAGTAAGGTCTTGTTCCAAAAAGGTCAGATAATAGTTTTTTTTCCTGTCCATAAATAGCTTGCTGGGAAATATGCAATATAAACCCATATTCTCCTTATGTTGGGCCATTCCGAATATTGTCCTTTGAACTTTATTGTTGCTTCAGTTCTGGAGGCTCAATAGTCGCAAGGCATGATGGGAGTCATCTTTTGTAGCTTGGACAAGCTTGTTAAGTCTAGGATTTCATGTTTCTATTTATAAGTCTGGGATTTCATGTTTCTATTTAAGACATAGTAAACTCAGAGAACAATTTTATATTTATGTAGCTTACATTCGTACTTAGGATCACTCATGAGTGAAGACTATCATTCCTTCACCCTTAAAATTTTAGCCAACTGTTCATGTTGTTATTATTGGATATTTTATAATAGATAATGATGCTCTAATCTGTCATCTACTAAGGAGTAGAAATATCATTCAGGTCTTAGTCTCACATTGTTTTCTAGTGTCTGATGTTGCAGATGCACAAACATTTATTTGTCTTTGAAAGAAAAGTGATGATACATCTTGATGTATATTGCTACGGAATGATAGAAGTTATGTGGTTAAGTGAAACTTAAGAAGATTGGTAAAACTGTGGTGCTAATTGCCGATTTGAGTTTGTCTACCTAATGAGATTTGGTTTTGAAAAGTAGCAAAACAATAGGCTAAAAAGCTTTCTGTGTAGGAAGCCTGGGTTAGAGACGAGTAATAATATGGGGATTGATATAATTTATTTAAGGTTTTAAGGCTTCTTGGGAGGTTGATGAGGAGATGTTCATTAACCGTTACACATGTTAAAATTTTGCTTGGTAAGGTCGGACTTATATCTGAGACGTGGGAGCTAAAGTAAATTGTTTTGAAAGTATCTTGGTGAATTTGCTAAACTTGAAAAAGAATGATGATGGAAGTTAAAGAAATATAGGGACCATTTCCAGGGTTGGAATTCATCACATCATCTTAATAATCCTTATTGCTCTGGGGAGAAATATGGTTTTGTAATCTTCCTTGTGCTGTGAAGATATCGTATCTATTTATTAGCTCCAGTGTCATGACATCCTAAAGCAACTTTAGCATATATACCCTAGTAATACAAATATTTTTACTTTTAACTCAACTCATAGATCTTAACATGACTGGTAAACTTAATAAGACCTAAACTAAGTATTTCTAATTACAATTGTGAATTTTGTCATTGTGCCAATATGATTTCTCCTTTTTCTTTTGGGCGAAAATAAAATATGAATTATGTTTCTGTTGCAGCTGTTGCTAAGCTTTTTGAGCTAGATTCATTTAGCTTAGAATCAGATTCAAAGTTAATTAATGAGTTTTCTTGTTCTTAATGTGAATTGAATACCTAGTGTGATTTGTTCTTGTAGAAGCGTGTTTAGAATTTTTAGAGCTAGTATAGGATCTAAATGAAGTTGCGAACTTGCAAGAGAGGATGCAGGCCTGGAGAAAGATTGTACGTTGGAGTTTATGGATAAATTTGATAATGTGCTGTAAATTTTTTTTATTACCATTTTAATTTTAGAATGATCATGACTTTTGACATTTTTTGCACTGCCCCTTTATTTAATATTTTGCAACTTTTCATGTAATATATTATGTTCTATCGAGTTCATGACAGGTTGGGTGAACAGGTTTGCACATGCTGGTGATTCTGCTGTTGAAATAGCAGAAAGCACAGCTTATCGAGTAAGTTTATAGTATTTATTTTCTTAAAACACATTGTCCTTCGGTTGAAATTATTTAAAATTAATTGAAAGTTGTGAGGTAAAATTATTATTCCTGACAAAATCAACTGTTTTGCCCTCGACCCCAATGTGAAAACTGGGTGGAAAGAAATAGAGTATAAGCTGCTAGACTTTGTATCATAATCGATATAAAATCATCTTCATATCCAACGGTGCAAGTATTGTATACTAGGTGATCCTGGAAAGTGAGTTGTAAATTTGAATGTGTACAAAAACCATGAACTGCTGTTCTTTGCAAATTTGTACATGGTCGAGGGACTTCTTATGTTAGAATTTAGCCATAATCCCAATCCTAATCCCAATGCAACTGAGAGCAGTAGAAAGCAACAAGAAATCAGAAAAATGCAAAGCAAATACAGATTTATCGTCTTTCAACCTCAATATGAGAGTTAACAAGAAGTTTACAGTGGAGATCAAACACCTCTGTTGTTGTCTCCCTCAGTCACAAAGAAGACCTCGTATTCCTTGATATGGTGCAGGAAGCTAGGGTGACCTAATACAAATAGATGAATGTTTTATATACATCCCTATAATAGAGTCTTTTGGGTGTTTTTTCTAATAGTGTAGGAAGTTAGGTCGATCCGTGGTCGAGGAGACAAGTGAACATTAATAATTAGGCTCTATACAATTCAACGTTCTACTTTTCTCTATCCTTGTGGGTTTTTTCTTGCTTGATTGATCTTCTCCGTTTTTCTGGTTCTGGATCTGATGTGTTTTGAATCTGACCAATTCTGGTGCTGTTGCAGTTTAGGCAAGCTAAAACTGAGATTGTAACTGCTAGCAGAGTGGCGTATCAGTTTCTTGCAGGAGTTGCTTCCAACAATTCACTTCTGAATGCAGAGTCCGAGAATAGAGGAAGATCTCCTAGATTCCAAGCTAGTTGGTTCAAGAACCTTATTTCTTCTGGTGCTAAACCATCAACTAGTTCAGAAATGGAAAATCAGGATGAGGAGATGACTCAGCAGCAGCAGCGACTGGATGCAGAAGCACTGCTGAGGCAGAACTCGCGACGTATTATCTGATGATATTGTTTTGTTTTCCCACTTGTCCTGTGCACACTATCGGGGCATGCTAAAGCTTAGGAAATTTATTTGTTGTAGACGTTTGGGTTGGCGTAAAATGTTGAATTCCCTTATTCACTGTGAAAAGAAAGTGCAGAATTAACATTTCAAAACATGTCACTGTTACAGTATTGGTTCTTGTTTCACATAATTACATGCTACGTATTAATTCATCACATTCTATGCTCCTCAAAATCACACGGCCGGATATTATCTCATTGGTAGAGTGCATCCCTGATTATTGCGTCGTTGTGCTTGGGCTGTGAGGGCTCTCAGCCACATGGATAGTTCAATATGTTCATCGGCATCGGACCTTGAGATGTGGAACATCAAAGACACATTAGCATGGGGTACTTATCCTGTTCGAACCGGGGTTTGAAACGAAAAGGAGGATAGATGGGGACGATTCGACTTCGTATGTTTTTATCAACTCGAAAAGTTTACTTGCTTGTTTAGTATAAATTATTAATTAATTCTCAAATAATCAAAAAATATGTTTTCATAAAATTATTTAAAAGAAGAATAATTTTCCCATGAAAAACCCTTCTAAAAACATTTCCTCTATTTTCTATACCTCTATCAAACTCAACCTAAGGTGCCAAAATAACTATATTAATATATGGAAGTTGCTATTTTCATTCATGATTTTTATGTATATATCCCACTCTAAATTTGTTTCATAATAAAATAAAATAAAAATGCTATATTCATCCACTTCATAATCCAACACTATCTTTATTAAATTAATTTAAACACAAAATATTTACACCACTTGTCTATATCTATCACACTCTAAATCTATCTCATTACAATTTTAAAATTTGCTCTATTCCACATTTGATGCCGTCGAATATTTTACGTACTCAAACATATTGTTAGAAACAAAGTTTGAAACAAGATAAAGGTCGGATTTCAAAACTTGAAGATATTTAATTGTTTTTCTTGCACAACCTCTATCAACAAAGACGTCGGGTGAACTAGAAAGAAAAATGATGGAGAAAACGAAAATTTCCTCAAGAAGACAAAATCCAGACGGTAGAATTGGCAAACGGTATAAATTCTTTGTGAGAAATGTTAATGATCATATTATTGTGTTTTTACAGTTAGGTGCAACTATTCTTGCCTTTGTTCGTTTGGTTGCAGAATTAAGGCCTTGTTTGAACCACATTCTTTCAAAAAGATAAACAGTTATTTGACAACATTTCAATCACATTCTTCAATAAAATAATATTATACGCAAATTCAGAATTTTTCCTTATTTTTCATCAATACACTATTCAAAAATGCGTTCTTACGAAAATAATGTGTTTCAAACAAGGGGCTATGTCATTTTGTTTAGCCTAAAGTTGGAATTGTTCGGCGGAGCTTAGTTACACATGTTAGTCAATTTCAAACTCATTTTCAGTTATTCCTTTAGTTACTTGCAGAAATATTGTCAACATTAATGAGATGTTACCTATACATGAATCCATAAGTCGAGCAAACAAAATATCAAAACCTCTTATGAAAAATCCAATATTTTTTCATCTAACGAAGCACTCGGCTCCCACTTTGTTAAAATAAAACATAAGGAAGTTCTTTCAAATAGAAGGAAGTCCCACTTCATTTCAAAATGGTTCCTTCCTTTTCTTTGGAAGAAAACAAGAATTCCAAAAAAATCGATAAAATGGAAGAAATCCTAATGAATGAAAAGGAAAAAACACAGGATGAATTCTTAACAAAGACGGGCTCTAATAATAGCCCAGTTTATGAAGATTCTTATCTAATGAATACCAATAAAAATCACAACAATTCTTTACCGTTCAAAAAGAATGAAGTTATACCCGACGAAAGCTAGCATAAGAGATAAGAGATGGTCTAATTTTGAACTTTTATGTATTTCCAAGCCTAGGTCGAAGCTCCCACTTGGGTTCGGGGGGAAGGCATTGATTTGGCTTGTTGAAGCCCTAAAGGCACGTGAAGAGGGGGTTCCGGATTTTATAATTATTGACTGTCCGGCTGGGATTGATGCTGGGTTTATTACTGCGATTACTCCTGCCAATGAAGCGGTTTTGGTGACGACGCCGGATATCACCAGCCTTCGTGATGCGGATAGGGTCACGGGGTTGTTGGAATGTGATGGCATTAGGGATATTAAGATGATTGTGAACCGGGTAAGGACGGATATGATAAAGGGGGAGGATATGATGTCGGTTTTGGATGTTCAGGAAATGCTGGGATTGCCTTTGTTGGGGGTAATCCCCGAGGATAATGAGGTGATTAGGAGTACGAATAGAGGGTACCCCTTGGTTTTGAATAAACCGCCTGCTTTGGCGGGGCTGGCATTCGAGCAGGCTGCGTGGAGGTTGGTGGAGCAGGATAGTATGAAGGCTGTGATGATGGAGGAGGAACCCAAGAAACGCGGGTTTTTCTCGTTCTTTGGAGGGTAGACTGTACTTATATAGTGTGTGATGATTCTGTTTTTGAAAAATCGGAAGTAAATTGTGTATAAGCTAAGGTTTGGCGTTCTTACCTTTGTTTTATGATTTCACAGTTCTTTTCTAAGACTTGTAGAATTAGTTTTATGTTCATAACTTGTAGTTTTTTTTATTTGATCATTTATGAATTCAAATGCATGTATTGTGTGCTTAGAAACTTCGATTTTTAAACAAAAGTCGAGGTTTTGGAACTGCTATTCTGTAATCTTGATTTGCTTCTATGCATATTTGATATTTGATGCTGGCTTCCATTGTCCATATCTGCTTTGGATGTGCAAGAGGTGTAAACACACGTGTGGTCTTCAGTGGTTTTAAAGTTACGCTTGTGTATTCCTGAAACCTTTGCCCCTTTTTTTAACTTGATTACTTGACGAATACCAGCTTGATCATGGATGTTTGAAAATGTTGAGATTTAACTGCTGGGGAAAAACCAATTTCGTGGTCTAAGGTATCCATTTCTGATGGAACGAATATTGAAATTAGTTATATTAATTTTGTCAATCAAAAGGAATTTCTGGGCTTCATTGGCAGTCCTGGTGTGATATGTTAGTGTCCTTGCCAACTTGCTAAATTGGCATCATTTAATGTATTTTACACCTTAGGTTTGATAAATATGTATTACTATAGATTCGCGGTTCATTGAACGATTAACAATTTCACTTTTGGTTTCCATATGATCAAATTGATCTAGCTCTTCACATAATCATTATGATATGTTTGATTTTTCTTTGAGATAATTGCATCTTTTTGAGGTGTGAGATTAATCGATGAATTGCATTAGTATTAGCCTGTCTAAGCCATTTCTGAGTGCATTTTGCTATACCCTCTCAAGACTCGCGAAACATTTTTTTTTTTTTTTTTTTCAAATTTTATTCAATTACTTAAGAGTTTCTTGTGCTAATCTGTATCTTTACTATAATTTAGTTGGTGCATGAAAAGTGATATTCAGGAATTCAAATTTTTATTTTTTTATTTTTATTTTTATTTTTACTGGCGCTGTTCTCATTATCACATTCTATTGCCCTGTGTTTGGACTCTTTTTCCTCTGGTAGAGCTCTGGCTTAACTTTTAATTATGAGATTTCCGTGTTCTGTCCTATTGAGTTATGTACTGTGCATGCTAAACTTGATAATTCTTACTTCCAAATTTAGAGTGCTTTGCTTTGGGCGGAAGTTAGCTCGGCGCAATGTGTGCAGGCAGTTGAATGCTGCTTTTTGAAGTTATCTAATGCATCATTCTTGCATTTAATTAAATTTTTGCAGCATATGACTAAGTTATTGATAGATCAGAACATGTTAAATTCTTGGTATAACCCTCTTCCTCTCTTGTTACTGGTGTATAAATATGAAGTTTCATTACATTCTACAAGATTCTGTCCAAATCAAGCCAAGACCTTGTGTGATTGATTTTTATGCCTCAATTGCTTGCTTTTATAGGAGATTAACTGGTCTGCATAGGCATGTTGTCTTATTTCAGCTTGGCATTGGGCAAATCAGCATTCGTACAGTGCCTTGATGATGCCTTCAATGGTTATCCCACAAGCTCATTTGGTGAAACAGGAGTGAATGGGCCAACGTTAATGTCAATTATTCCTTTTATGTTTGACATTACTTGCCATTCGAAAGCTTTCGAGAGAGTATTAATTTTTGCGAGACAATTGAATGGCATGTTAGTGTCCAAATTTTGACTAATCTCATTTTTGTATTCCCTAAAAACAAAATTTGTCAATGATCCCATCCAAGCAGTCTAGGGGTGGCAATAGAGTCGAACGGCTCGGGCTCGTCCAAAGCCGAGTGGGCTTGCTCGCTAGGCGAGCTGAACCCGCGTGGGCGAGCGGCTTGTCATAGGCAAGGGCCCACAAGCTCTCGTAAAAAAAGGGGAACAAAAGAGTTAAAAAAAAAAAAATTGGAAACTACAGATTCTAATGGATTGGAAATTCCAATTTCATAAATCAGATGTCATGTTTAGTATTTCACAAATCAGAACATTTTTAATTAAACATAATTTATAATTTAAATAATCTAACAACCAAGGCCAAACCCCAAATCTCTCTCCCCTAAGTTCCATTCTCTTTCGTCTCTCTACTACCTCTCAACCCATTTCTTTGTAGCCAACCAATTGTCAAAGCCCACCATTGTTTGCTGCACCAACATACCACATCGCCACCAACGTTCGAAGATGCAGAGAAGCACGCCATGCAGCCTCCTCTCTCGACCTTTTCTCCACTGGCGGTGGCTTCCTCTCTCTCTCTCTCTCTCTCACGATTTTCACATTTGTGAAGTGGCACAGAACGCAGTAGCAATGTTGTGCTGTGTCAAATGTCGGTCAATTTTTCATCCTCACAGGTGCTTTAGAAAATAGGTTTGGTTGTTTTGTTTTTAGCGGTGTTGATGGTGTGACAGTGATGTCGTTGTAGTGGTGACTGGTTAGGGTTGGTGGTGGTGACAACGTTGTGGTTGAGTGGTTTTTTTGATTAACCTGTGGTGGTGTTATGCTGAGTAATAATGGTACCGTGATTGTGGTGACTAGTTGGTGGGCCGTGGTGGAGTGGCGGTGGTCGTCTATGGGAAGAAATGGGGTTTGAAGATTGTGACCAATTATTTGGTTGATTGTAAGTAATAATTGATTAATTTGTAATATGTGATCTAAAAAATTGTGATTGTAACTTTCAATTGATTAAGTTGTGATCGAAAAATTAATCGTGATCAATTTATCTAATAATTTGCAATGAATAAATGAGTTGTGTCAATAAAAGTTTTGATTCTGTGACCAATGAATAATCAGTGACTTAAAAAAATTTTGATTTGTGACAAAAAATAATGTGACTTATGAAATTTTTTATTTGTGACCAATAAATTGATAAGTTGTGACTAAAAATTAATGCGTGATTAATTAATTTTTTTGATTTACGATTGATGAACAAACTGTGACTTACAAAATTTTTGAATTGCGATCGTAAAATAATTTGGGACATAAAATTTTTGATTTGTGACCAAAAAAATAAGTGACTAATTAAATTGTTAATTTGTGATCAAATTGTACAGATATGTGACATAAATATATTTAATAAATTAATTAATTAATTAAATCATAAATAAATTTTAATAAAAATCTGATTTTTGAAGTTTAAAACTTGTTTTCTTAATTTTGAAATGTGTGATACTTAAAATCTTACTTATGAAATTTCCCAATAAATAAATAATTCTTGAGCTCTTGGGCTCGGCTCATGCTTGAATGAGCTACTTCAACGAGACAAGCTCAAGCTCAAGCTCGTGAGTAGATGGGTCGAGCCGACATTGACGGGAGATTTTTATAAATGGCTTACTACTATTCATTTTTGGTAAAATGTTTATAATACCCTTAATGAAAGGATTTGTCATATTTTGCACAAGATATCCTTAATTTATTGGGATAGTTCTAAATTCCTCTATTTCTCTCATTTCGAGTTTTAATATATAATTCCATCATTTGATCTAATAAACTAGCATAATCTGTAATATAATTATCATGTAATTTACTAAGATTATCATATTCCTTAGCTGAAATATCCATAATTTCTAGTTGGGCAAAAATATTTCTTATTTTTTCTAATAGTTTTTCTAACAGATTATCTAATCCTTTAATCGTATATCCTGGCATTATTCGGATAATTCCTTGCAAGCTTTATGAATAACATGTTATATAAGGTTTTTGCAAACATGAAAAGTAATAATCCCTACGATTCTTTCAAGATATTAGAAGAATACTTTCTAAATTTAACAAAGACAATAATTTTACCTTACTTTTGATCTTGAATCTGTATTCTTAGAACCGAGTGACCTTCAGGCTCTGAATCTGCAAACTGCTCCCTCAAACGGCCTCTTGCCTCAATGGGAATTCTGCTATTTCAGCTTCTTGCCATCACTGTATCTTTTCTTAGAATTAAGAGTAAAGATCTTAAGTAAAGAAAATTCTTTCTTTGTTAAAGTAAGAAAGAAATTATCTTCTTCAATCTATCAAGAATCTATGGGATGGGAAATTTAGAAACTCATATCTTTCTGATATCAAAAGATTGAAATTTTATTTCTATAATGATTTATACAAGGTTTCTAGTGTATACAAAGGGTTTCCAAAAAAACTGGTTTTGAAAAAAGTTTAAGGAAAGAGAATGGTTTCTAACTCGAGATGCCCCTTCTTTCCTCAAAGACCTCTATTTATACATAACTCAAATTCAATATTATTGATCTATTACATCATTGCATACATCAGATTTTTGAAAAAGGCTCACATGCCTCTCTATTCTTTTCCTCCTGGGGTCTACATCTTCACATGCATTTTTTACTTTTTTATCAAAGTGGCATCTTTTCTTCTATTATTGCCTTATCATCTTTGGCTTCATATGCAGCTGACTAGATGTTTTTCTATTATTGTTTTTCCATCTTTGTCTTCATACGCAGCTGGCCAGATGCTTTGGTAATGGTAGATTATTTTCCATCCATCAATCTCTCAATTTTGTCTACATGTGGGGCACTCCCTCAATCTACATAATTCTTGAATTGTTGTTGGACTTCCATTAATTTGATGAGTATCAAATTTCTGGATATATTCTTTCAAAATGGTAGATTTTTCTTTTCCATTATTTGTAAAGAGTGTCCATCCTTCATATTGGCACAAGCATCTAAATTTTTTATCATATAAGTTCTTTGCAATGTTGTAAAGAACTTTCATCCCCAAAACTCTTCGAGATTTTATCCATGATTTATTGATTTTAGGCAATGGTTTATTATTTCGACCAACTTCAATCTGGAAATCTCGGCCAACATATCCAATTGTAATAATATGTTCAGCAGGATAGTATATCCTTCCATCAACTTCGGGACTTATTGAATAAAATTTGATATAAATCGATCTCCCTTGGGCAAATTTTGAAACTATCATCAAATTTTTCAATTTCTTTTAAATCTTTTCCTGGATAGATCAAATCCAGAAATCCATAATCTGCTGCCATTTTGACCATGAAAGGGTCTGCATCTTTGGTAATTATTAATCTGGGATAAACATGATCTCCTGATGCAATAAAATAAGATTCATTTTCTTCCAATTCATAAACAATCTTGGCAAATGATCTATATTCTTCTTCTTTTGATAATAAAGGGGTATCATCATCTTCATCAGTTTTGATTCTTATAACTCTTGTATGTTCATCACTATTTTTTATAGTCACCTTCCGGGGACTTGTTATATCTCGTTTGATATTGTTGGGTCCACTGCTACTTCCTGGCTGTGTGCCTGTTTGTATTTTTGAGATTGTATCAATTGACATTTCCTGTTTGGTATCTAATAACTCGAATTGTGAAGTAATATCAACAATTCTGTCATTCAATTCTTTGGTATATTTGGAATGAGAATTAGAGATTTCCACCAACAACTTGACATTTTGTTGGATAGTTTCTGCCATTTCCTCTAAATGCTCAATTCCAATTTTCATATCTTCAGATTCTTCCATGAGGAATTTCATTCGTCTGTTGACGTCTATTAATGAATTTTTGATATTATCCATCTCCAAATTCGATGTTCCTGCTCAAAAAATCTGCAAGATAATTATTTATTCCTTTAATATGAACAATATCAAAATTGTAGAATGATAAATATGCTTGCCATCTGTGTAACCTTCTATATTGAGGTTCCATAGGTAACTTATTTCTAATAAGACCTGCAACTTGAGAATTATCAGTTTTAACAATGAATTTTTTAGATAAAAGAAATAATGAAAACTTTTTTATTCCTCTAATAATTGCTAACAATTCTTTCTCATGGGTAGTATAATTTATTTCTGCTTGGTTAAAAGTTCCACTTGAATATCTGCACATTTCATTTAAATCTGTTTTTAATATAGCTGTCCAATATTTATCCGAGGCATCGATATTGACAATTAGATTATTCTTTTCATCTGGTAATCTTAATTTTGGTAAATTTTTACATTCTTCTTTTAATGATTTAACAATTTCAGTATGTTCTTTATTACAACCTTTAGTATTTGTTTTCCTAAGTAGGATTTGTATCTTATGTCTCTTCTTTGAGAGATTTTCAATAAAACCTTCGGCATAGTTTAAACATCCTAAAAATTTTTGTATTTGTTCTTTGAATTTTAATTCATCTGGAAAGCTTTCTATCTTTTTAGAAATGTAACTTTGTAGTTTTATTCCTTTTCTATCTATTGATAATCCTAAAAAAATTATTTCTTGTTTCTCTATTATAGATTTCTTTTTAGAGAGTACTATTCCTTCCTTTTTGCATTCATTTATGAATTGTAATAAATGATTCCTATGTTCTTTTTTATTATTAGAACATATTAGTATATCATCAATATAAACAATAAGAAAATCACTATACTTTTTGAATATATTATCCATTTTTCTTTGATATATTTGTAGTGCATTTTTTAAACCAAATGGCATAACTAACCATTCATATTATCCTTGTGGTGTACTAAAAGCTGTATATTGTATACTATCTTCTTCCATTTTTATTTGCTAGAATCCTGATTTACAATCAAATTTGGAATAATATTGTTTTCCTTTTGCAAGGTTTATTAGGACTTCTTTATTTGGTAAAAAGTAACCATCAAATTTAGTATATTTATTTAATTCTTTATAGTTTATTACCATTCTAGCTTTTCCTCT